TTAATATGGGCATTAGAGGCTAATTTCTTAGCCAAGGGTAGAGATGAACTTCTATGTCCACTAAGTGTTTGATAAAAGTTCTAAACCAATAAATTGTGATTTATCCTTTATATTTTGATTGTTTATTACTATGGTGTACAACATAGAAGTATGTTAAATTTAGTTTATACTTGCAATTAACATTGAAGTCTAAACTATGAACATTAAAGGATAAACATATATATTACCGAGAATAGAAATATATCCGGTATTATATGATACAGGTGTGATGTCTTGATATTCAACGGGGTTTTCGGTAGATGAATGTAAGCCGTAACGGGACTTACACGTAACGAAAACCACGCTCTCGCTGCCTTAACCGGAGTTGAGAATATATTAGCGACATTGTATTCATAGTTATTGGTAAAGAACTAATATTAAACCCTATTAAAGCATTTAAGTGATTCCCGAAGCCTTAGCCGTTGTTATCATTCATCTTAAATCCGAATTAATTAATGTTATTTCCTTGAATTAAAAGTGAAAAGCCAAAAATATAAAACACAAATCAAAATCCTTGCATTTTACTCATTTATTTATTTAAAGTCATCTACTCTCGGACTAAATTAAACAACGTTTCCCTGTGGATTTGACCCGGTATTTTACCGGAATTTATTACTTTATCGGCACTTGTACACTTGCAAGTTTAGCACGGTCAAGGACTCAGTTGATGATAGTTCTGTATAGGGGAAGGAAGATGATTTAGATGAGGTGGAGAAGAAAATTTTTCAGACTGATTCTTCTTTTATTACTCTTTCTCCATTGAATTCAAAGCAGGCCTCTTCCCTCCCACCTTGAGTATGCTTTTCTAGATGATAGTCCTTACCTCCCTGTTATTCTTGCATCCGGGCTTGAGCCATCCCAAATTTCAGCATGTCTTAATTTACTTAGTGAGCAAAGGGAAGTTCTAGCCCGGAAACTTTCTGACATGAAAGTAATCAATCCCTCTTTGATGGAAGAGAAAGCTAAACCGGTAGTGCAGCCCCAAAGAAGTCTGAATCCTAATATGCAGGAAGTGGTTAGGGAGGAAGTCATCCGTCTGTTTGATGTAGGCATTATTTATCAGATTTCAGACTCTCCCCGAGTCAGCCCGACCTAGGTGGTTCTCTAGAAAGGGGTGACGTGCACTTTGTCACGGTGCGTCAAAATAATATTCAATACTAACACTTATACGTAGTATAGGTAAAGTAGAGTTCGTATCCACAGGGAAAGGAATAATTATCTTTTTATGTAACTAGTGAATAAAGTGGGGTTTTGATTGAGTGATTTAATTAAATTAAACACGAAGATGAACGACTTATATGAGATTTAATTCAAGAATAAAAGGGACTTGGCATTGCTACTTTCCACTTGTTGATATATTTTAGTTGATCATTGTTATATCTATAACTTATCCCCTCTCGAATACTCAATCGAGGAGTATATCCAATTCATCGAGGGTATTTATTAACAACGACCGTTCATTAATAACCCTTACTATTAGTCAAGTGTAGAACACCGCCATATACCGACTTGATAGTAGCATTTAATCTCTTAACTCCTTGATGAAATCAATTGAGATTGATGACCTCAACACAACGGTTTTGGTTTAACCAACAAAATTAATCCCTCTTAAGTTTATTAACCACGACCGTGCATTAATAAACCAAAATTACTTACTTGTGAAACTGCCAACGATTAACCATTGGTTCGTTGATCGTTTCTAGTAATAATTTATACATGAAACAAAACTAGTTGATCCTTTAAGTAATGTTCAAAATATTAATATGAAATATGAATACGAATTAATTAATACTCAAGGAAGAATATTGAAGAACATGAATCCTACTATGGTATCTCAAATTTGAATGGTTGATGATTTGGTAAAGATTGGTGTAATATACTTCATCCATTGGTTCCAAAATGATCTGCAAAATAAATTTTTAAATAATTCACTAATGCAGTCACTTCAGCCAGAATTTCATAATTTTAGCAAATTTTTCCGATTCAATCAATTTCAGTGTTACAACTATTTTACAATCATAACTATTACACCAAAAGTGTGTAATTTCCGAAATATCAAACAACCAAAACTTACTAAAAACATAAACATACACACGGAAATTACAAGCGTATCAAGGGGGGATGACTGTGGTTAAGAACGAGAAAGATGAGTTGATTCCTACGCGGACGGTCACCGGATGACAGGTTTGCATTGATTATCGGAAATTAAATGCTGCCACCCGGAAGGACCACTTCCCCCTCCCCTTTATTGATCAGATTTTAGAGAAGCTAGCAGGGCATAAGTTTTATTGTTTCCTTGACAGGATGTCGGGATACTTCCAGATCGATCCCCATAGCACCCGAGGACTGGGATAAGACCATGTTTACATGTCCATTCGGTACCTTTGCTTATTGAAGGATGGCGTTTGGATTATATAATGCCCCTGCTACCTTTATGAGATGCATGCTTGTTATTTTTGGGGATTTTATTGGGATGTTTATGCATGTTTTTATGGATGATTTTTCTGTGTTTGGTGATTCTTTTGATAAGTGCTTAGGGTATTTGAAGAAAGTCTTGGTTAGGTGTCGAAAGGTGAATTTGGTGCTTAACTGGGAGAAGTGCCACTTTATGGTTAATGAGGGAGTGGTCCTAGGGCATAAGATATCGAGTAGGGGGTTGAGGTTGATCCGGCTAAGGTAGATGTGATTTCCAAATCGCCTCCCCTACCTCGGTCCGTGCTATTATTATTAAGTAATAAATGATCGGTAGTTAATTAATACTAATCTGTATTCCTCACAATAGCACACCAGATATGTATTACAAAGCTAAGAATGCTTACAATTTCATATTTTCCACATATTCATATTTTCCTCATGTAATTTCATTTGCAAATAATTTTATTATGGTTTAACCGTACTACTTAATACGGAGTAGTAGCTTTCTGAGTCTTATAATAAATTTAAATATACTAACACTATTACCTCATTCAAAAACCGATTAGGCTGGTCTCAGGACAAATATTATTGGAACTTCATTGCTTCAAAGTGAAGATGGTATCTCAAATTTGAATGGTTGATGATTTGGTAAAGATTGCTGTAATATACTCCATCCATTGGTTCCAAAATGATCTGCAAAATAAATTTTTAAATAATTCACTAATGCACTCACTTCAGCCAGAATTTCATAATTTTAGCAAATGTATCCGATTCAATCAATTTCAGTGTTACAAAATGGGCCATATGTATCCAAGTAGGAAATTTCTTTATGCGCCCCCTAGAATTACTAAACATAACGTAACCCATGTAAGACAAACTTACTCTTTTTTTAATTTTCTTTTGCAAAAAGTGCTTCTCATCACATTATAGCAACCTCAAACATTTTTTAATTCACTAACATACGGATGAAAAGCTGTACATATTTTTTAATTTCATAATGTTCCATAAGTTTCGGTCATTTCAAAAGTTCTTTGATTTAAAAAATAAAGTTATTTCTATCAAATGAATTTTAAATATTGCGTTCTTACTTAATTTCGTTTACACCATTTTGACAAAGATCTAATATTATTTTATTTTGAAGTTAAAATGAAATATTAAAAATAATATTCTAAAAAGTGCAATACTTGTTTTACATTTGTAATACATATTCCTTAAGTTAATTTATAATATCACACCAGCTATGTATCACAAAGTGTCAAAGAGTGCTCAAAATATTCTCACACTTTCTAAACGATAAAAAATAATAGTATTAAGTAACTGTAAAAAGCATCTAGATATGTTTAAGCCAAAAAAATCAATCGAATTAAAAATATCTTTATTACTCTTTATTACTCTTATTAGAATGTGATATTTATTCTAATCTGATATGGAGTTCTAAATTTTAGAGAGGATTCCTTTAAAGATGTTTTAAATTAAATTAAATTTTCTGTTCTGATCTGATTTGATATGATCTCACCTAGTCTGGTATAATAAATGTCTATATGATCTATAGACAATATCTTTTTTTTTTAATTTAATGTAACCTAGAACGAACTTGTAGGATGTTTTAGGAATTTTTTAAATGACATAGTATCAATGTTCTAAAAGGCGCTAGGCGCTAGGCGCTAGTCGGGCGTCAGCCCAGCGCCTAGCGCCTAGGCGGCTAGGCGGACGCCTAGTCGGGGACTAGTCGGAGACACAAAAATTGCATTTTTATCTATATTTTTGCATAAATATGATAAGTAATATTGTATTTTTGTGTGTATAAAATACATATATACATATACATTAACAAACATGAAAGATAGAATTATCACATTTAATCATACGTAGTATATGATAACTTATCACTCAACTTCATTATGGTATATATATAAATAATGATAAAATTTAGGTATATATACCAACATATATAGTTTTATCTTAATTTACAACTTCATTTATTTATATCCATGGCTACAGTTAAAGTACATATATCGCTTAAAAAATTAAAATTAAAAAGTAAAGTAATGTTTGGCAAATCTAGTGGCCTAGGCGACCGATTAGGCGCTCTAGGTGGGCAACTAGGCGCCATAGGCGGCCGATTAATTCAACTAGACGGCAAACCAATTAGTCGGAGCGCCTAGACGAAAATCGGGGCGCCCGACCCCTGCCTAGCGCCTAGGCGGGGACTAGTCGAGCGCCTAGAACGATTTTTAGAACAGAGCATAGTATAATTCTATTCTAACTTTAGGAAGTTTTTGTACAAAAGAAACTTTAGGAACATGAATTGAAGATTTGAAGATATCGTAGAATTGCTGGAAATCTAATCTTACTTGGTCCTAAAGTAACGTAACATGAATTGAAGAAGTCTAATCTAACGTTTTTTTTGAAAGAACGTTATTTTCGTCCAATTCCCTTATTTTCGTCCATGAGTTTAATTCCTGTATTTTTGCATGTTAGGCAAAAAAGTCCTCTTATGAGAACTTCCTAAAAAATATCTTAGTCGAATTTGCAATTATTAGGGCGTAAAGAATAGATAGGAGCGTCAAGACAGACAAATATATAATTCAGCCATACGATCGAAATAGGTAGCTATCATCATTCAAGGAAAGAAAGATGGGAAGAGCGGAAGGATGGACTAGATTACGCGCAGCCGCCCTTTTGTTCAACGCCATATTGTTAGGCGTCGGAAACTGCGGCAACCCTCTTCTCACGCGCCTCTACTTCATCGGCGGCGGCGCCCGGATTTGGTTTTCCGCCTGGCAGCAAACCGCCGCTTGGCCAGTCACTTTCATCCCTCTTTTCGTCTCCTACATCCACCACCGCCGCAGCCGGAGCCGGACAAGTGACTCCGGTGAGTTCCAACACATCACGCCGTTTCTTTTCATCTCCGCAGCCCTCATCGGCCTTCTGATGGGCCTGAACAACTACTTCTTCACGTACGGCTACGCCAAGCTCCCGGTCTCCACGGCGCTTCTGATCGGGAGCGCTCAGCTCGCGTTCACGTCGGTGTTCGCTTTCTTCCTCGTGAAGCAGAAGTTTACGGCGTTCACAATAAACGCGATCGTTTTGCTGACGTTATCAGCAATTGTTTTAGGCGTCCGGGCGGGGAATGACCGCCCGGACGGGGAGCCGAACAAGGATTATATTTTGGGGTTTGTATTGACAATTGGGTCGGCGGCTTTGATAGGGTTGCTTTTTCCGTTAATTGAGTTGAGTTATAGTAAGGCGAAGAAGGCCAAAATTGAGTATAGTATGGTGCTGGAATTTCAGATGGTTCTATGTTTTGCTGCCACTCTTTTCTGCACGGTTGGAATGTTCATAAACCACGACTTCCAGGTATGTTGCAGTTATACTACTTCATCCTAGTTCCAATGTTTTTATTTCAAATCATTACACATTGATAATGATAAAATATTTTAGAACAAATATTTGTCATACAAAACATGTTTATTGTTGTACATTTCCAAACACTTTATACGGAATATATACTAAATTTGAACTGGTGTGAGAATTCTAGTCTAACATGGACAAATTAAAACTGCTCCTCATCCTTCAAGGAGCAGAATCAGATATTGAAGTGTCTGGGTGAAAGTGCAAAAACACTTCTGGATGCTCTGAATTACTCATAGAAGCACTTTTTAAGGGCAGTGCGAGATCAGATTCTGAAAAACTAATTCTGATTCTGTTTCTGAACACCCCTAATCTAGTCAACCAACAACCCTTAAAATGTTTTAATCGAATTCAAATTTTCTGACAGTGTATTACAAAGTACGATCGATAGTATGATTTGTATTAGGTACTAATTATATGTATATTACAAAGTACGATCGATAGTATTAGGTAAATCTGCTAGAAGAGAAAAAGATCTCAGGATATCAGCTACATACAATTTGAAAATTGAAATAAGAGAGGATATGTGTTTCAATTCACTTCCGCTCTGGCCTGGAATCAAATTCTTAATTCCCAATTTCTCAAATATGATGTATTTTAATGTGGGGCGACTTGAGCTTTTTGGAGGTCCCAGACATAATAAAACTTGTCTCTTTTCATCCCACTAACCATATCACAAAAGGAGTGAGTGAGTCTCACACACCAAATTGATTGATATTAAATTGATAAAATAAGAATAAAGTAATACTCCCTCCGTCCCTTTTTATTTAGCCAAACACCTTTTTTCAAGTCAAAGTTGTTCAACTTTGACCGATTATATATTTATACACGATAATATTGATAATATGAAAATTATATGAAAATGTTCTTTGATGAATGTTGGTAGAAAATAACCCGGGTAGAGAATTTGGCAGCATTTCAGTATAGTGAGAATAGCTTTTTCAGAATACAAGGGGTTGGTGGCCTATTTATAGGCATACACAATAGCCCACCAATTAAGTGTTACATGGGCTTGGCCCGATTTATCAACTAACATTGACGCTAACGGGCCAGCCAGCCCGATATGTAAATAAATAATCTCGGACCAATATCCGCTAGCCGGGCTGTGCTCTGAGCTTGGTCGGGCCAAAGCATGGGCGTAACGGGCCAATAGTCTTGGACCTGGCCCATTATCCCAACACGAGTCCCCCACTCCCTTAGTCGAGTAGTAGACTCGGCTAAAAGGGAGTAGTTAAGCTTATTTGGAATTGGTCCGGTTTTTTGTCCGGCCGGCCGGTCATTATCGAGCCTTGAATTTGATCCCATTGCTTGTGAAAGGATGGACTCTTCTTTGCTCCGACCGGGAGACCTCTTCCTTTGTTCATGATAAGGGGGTGCCTCGTTAAAACCTTACTAGGAAAAACCCAATGGGAAAAAATCCTGGTGAAGGAAAAAGAGTGCACCAGAACCTTAAAATAAAGAAAGGGAAGGTCAATCCCCTCGGTTCTTGGTTGAGTGCCTGCTTTACTGGTAAGCCGAGATATGTTCCAGAAAGACTAGTCACACGGTTGTTTGTCAGTGGTGTCGGTCGAGCCAAGGTATGCTCGGGAGAGACCACCTAGCAACTTTGTTTGTTGATGGTGTCGAGCTGAGATATGCTTGGAGAAGGCGGGTCGCAATTGTACACTTGTACGTTGAGGATGGCGATCCGGGGTATCCGATCCGAATAATGATGACGGGGAAGAAATGAGCCGGTTGTCATGTAAAGGCGACGGTCACCATCCAAGAAGGGATGGCGAGCCCGGTCGCTAGATCAAGACTTCGGCGCTGAGGAGCCGGTCTTTGATATAGAGCATCACATCGAGGCTGAGGGGGCCGATCATGATGCATGTGCAAAGGTACTGGAGGGCCGATCTAAAGATCCAAGCAACGGTCGCCATCCGGGAAGGGATGACTGAGACCGGCCTTGAGAGTATGACGACCACGTTGAGACCAAGGGGACTGCCGTGTCGATATATAAAAGATCACGTTGAGAGTTGAGATCGAGGGGTCTGCCGTGATGCAAGGACGTCGGCACTGAGGGGCCGGTCCAGAAATCCACGCAACGGTCCTCATCCATGAAGTGAGAGGATGAGACCGGTCTTCAAATAAATGATCACGTTGAGACCGAGGGGCTGCCGTGAGGCAAGGACATCGGCACTGAGGGGTCAGTCCGGAAATCCACACAACGGTCCTCATCCATGAAGTGAGGGGATGAGTCCGGTCTTCAGATAAATGATCACGTTGAGACCGAGGGGTCTGCCGTGATGCAGCGATGTCTCGCTTGGAATACGAGAGGCACGAGGATGTGGGAGATGAGGCAGTTGCTTTGTTCAAATCCCCTTACAGTTTTCGGAGCTCATCACTTCCAGGATTGAAGACCGGTGCCCGGAGTATATCCGAGCTTAGCTGCGGAACAAGGAGGGTTGCAATTGGCTGGCATTATATGCAGACTACCTGTGATGAGGCGAAGAAAATCGGGCAATGATGATCTTGGAGTTGGTCTTTGTAATTGATTTTTCGCTTGAGCTTGTATGTGTGCATCATTTGTTCTTTCAATTTACTTAGCCGTTTTCATTCAAGAATACTTGGAGAACTAATCGGGGATCTGGCTCCCCACCTAGGCCGTGAGGGGCGGAAGGTTGGCAGGGCCGACCTTGACCGCACCCTGCTTGGTAAGGCGGGGCTGACCCACACACTATCGATCTAGGACCGATGAGTGTGCAAGATGTTCGGCCAACGGTCAGACAACGGATGTACGAGAGGGGCTCGGGGCACGACCTCTCGCATACCTTCGACCCGGAGGCCGGTCTTACACCTTGACTTGTACAGCTAGTTTCATACTTAGGAAAAATCTGGTTATCCCTTTCTGAAAGTCAAACTGAAGTCGGCCAAATGTAAGGGCGAGGCCCTGCATGATCAGACCAGAACGGACCCGCACCGCTGACCCTATCAAACGAGTGTGCGGACTGTTAAGCCTAGCAACGTCAGACAATGGATGTACGAGAGGGGCTCGGAGCATGACCTCTCGCATACCTTCGGACTAAAGACCGGTCATATAGTCGCCGCACCATTGATTGGATCAAACGAGTATGCGAGCTGTTTAGTCAGCAACGTCAGACAACGGATGTACGAGAGGGGTTCGGGGCACGACCTCTCGCATACCTTTTCGACCCGGGGGGCGGTCTTACGGTCGCCCTGACCGAGCAGCTAATCCTAGACTTAGAAAGAAGTAGTTTGATCATTTCCTTGTCCGAGGATCGAGCCGTGGTCGACTAAACACCGAGAGCGGGGCGTTATAGTTTTTTTTTTTTTTTTTTTTTTTTTTTTTTTTTGGCCGCCGCCCGTTCATTTCCAAGTGAGGTCGGACCTCATTAAATTCTAGACTGGAAAACGATTTTTTTTATATTCAAGGAGAGTTCCACACTTGATCTACTAGCTCGTGGTGCTCCGCTCTTAGGCTTTGACAAAGTGCTCAATGCCAGTACTTTGTCGTTTTGATATTGATGGTATGGACCTATCTGTGCAAGCTTGGGCGCACGAGCGCAGAGCATACAGGCGTACACGGTGACAACTACAATGTGCACAACGCTCACTCAAAGCTACGTGATTGTGACTTGTCGGCGCCAGGGAGTATCTTCAGTCTAAATGCAATGCTTGGTCAGAATGGATTGAATCGGAGCTCAGCTATCTTTGACTTGGTTCTCTAGTGATGTGCAGGGCGTACGGCGGTACGGGCGTACGGGAGTCCGGGCGTACGGGAGTCCAGGCATACGGGAGTCCGGGCGTACCGGAGTCCGGGCATACGGGAGTCCGGGCGTACGGGAGTCCGGGCGTACGGGAGTCCGGGCGTACGGGAGTCCGGGCATACGGGAGTCCTGGCGTACGGGAGTCCGGGCGTACGGGAGTCCGGGCGTACGGGTGTCCGGGCGTACGGGAGTCCGGGCGTACGGGAGTCCGGGCGTACGGGAGTCCTCGCGTACGGGAGTCCGGGCGTACGGGAGTCCGGGCGTACGGGAGTCCGGGCGTACGGGAGTCCGGGCGTACGGGAGTCCGGGCGTACGGGAGTCCGGGCATACGGGAGTCCTGGCGTACGGGAGTCCGGGCGTACGGGAGTCCGGGCGTACGGGAGTCCGGGCGTACGGGAGTCCGGGCGTACGGGAGTCCGAGCGTACGGGAGTCCGGGCATACGGGAGTCCTGGCGTACGGGAGTCCGGGCATACGAGAGTCCGGGCGTACAGGAGTCCGGGCGTACGAGCGCATAGGCGTGCAGGCATACAGGCGTACCGACCCCGGACTTGCGCTCCAAGACAAGGTTGTGCATCTAGACCTCCCGGCAGAGACGGGCCTCTCGATGTAGATCGGAGGTTCACGTCGCCGGGTTGAGCCCGTGCCACTAAGCTTCGACGTACGGGCGTACCGACCCCGGGCGTACCGACCCCGGGCTTGCACTCCAAGACAAGGTTGTGCATCCGGACCTCCCGGCAGAGACGGGCCTCCTAATGGAGATCGGAGGTTCACGCCGCCGGGTTGAGCTCGTGCCACCAAGATTCGACGTACGGGCGTACCGACACCCCGGCCTTGCGCTCCAAGACAAGGTTGTGCATCCGGACCTCCCAGCAAAGACGGACCTCCTGATGGAGATCGGAGGTTCACGCCGCTGGGTTGAGCCCGTGCCACCAAGCTTCGGCGTACGGGCGTACCGACCCTGGCCTGGGCTTGCGCCCCAAGACAAGGTTGTGCATCCGGACCTCCCGGTAAAGACGGGCCTCCTGATGGAGATCGGAGGTTCACGTCGCCGGGTTAAGCCCATGCCACCAAGCTTCCGGGTTGTCTCGAGACCGAGGAGGTTGCATTAGCGTCCTAGGGTTCTGTTAGTCAACCTCTCCATCTGGTGATAATCAGTCCACGTATAAGCTTTTGTGGTATCTTCCTTTGTTATTGAGTCGTTGTTGCACCTGTCTAGATCTGGCATGTTCCACCTCCTCTCTGCAGTACGTATTAGATAGAGTTCAGAATTCGTCCATCCTTGGCTGAAGCTTTGTCGGTGGATCTGACGCCATTCGTGGCGTCCTGGTTAGAATGTAGTTCCAGGTCAGGCGAGACTGAACTGGAACGCAGCTACCCTGAACTTGGTGAGTTGGAGGACTGGGCGAAGCTAATTTTGCCGTTGGCCGCACACCTGTTCAATTAATTCTAATTTAAATTATTGATTTGATTCACTGATTCAGCCTTTGGTGGACTTTTGAGTCGACCAGGTCAAAATCAGGAGGGTTGCTTGGGAAAAAGAGGTTGGCTCTTCTCTGGACGGTCATCTCCTCCCATCTACGTTTCTGGTAGAGAAAAGACTCAGTTGACAGGAGCCTACTCATATGCTGAGCCACAGATCGGAGGTCACAACAGTCGAGACGACCTTCTCTGTAGTTTGTGTTGGCAGGAGATGAGTTCTTAGTCGCCGAACTCGGCTATCGTCGCCACGGAAGACCCGCTTCCCACGAACTTGAAGCCTTCATTAATGGCGTCGCACCCTGGTCCGCGAAATCAGGCTGAGAGACCTGCTACTTCGATCCGTTGCAACTCACACTTGCACCTAAAGCTTCACGGTTTATAGGGGTGAGACCGAGGCGGAGATTGACGACATGGCGACGGGGCAGAGGAGAGAGCCGCTGGTGGCGACTTATGACCAATCGTCGTAGCGACCGCCGTGGTGACGGCCGACGGAGGCGAGGGCTCCTGCTTTGCTAGAGACGATGATGACTACAACCTTGAGTGGAGGTTCCGGCGGCTCCAACTTTCCAGGCCTAGGAGTCCAGATTCTAGCCGTCTTTGCGTAGCAGGGGAGTGGGGCGATACACCCGGCTGTATTTTCTTTTTGTGAATGTCATCAATTTGTGATTTTCTGGAGCGATTTTTACTCCATTGCTGTTCGGATCTTCCCAAGTTTCTACCAAAAAATACGAGAGACTAGCTCTCAATGAAAGCACCAATGTTGGTAGAAAATAACCCGGGTAGAGAATTTGGCAGCATTTCAGTATAGTGAGAATAGCTTTTTCAGAATACAAGGGGTTGGTGGCCTATTTATAGGCATACACAATAGCCCACCAATTAAGTGTTACATGGGCTTGGCCCGATTTATCAACTAACATTGACGCTAACGGGCCAGCCAGCCCGATATGTAAATAAATAATCTCGGACCAATATCCGCTAGCCGGGCTGTGCTCTGAGCTTGGTCGGGCCAAAGCATGGGCGTAACGGGCCAATAGTCTTGGACCTGGCCCATTATCCCAACAATGAAAATACTATCATAAAAGTATAAATATATTATGTTTTACATAAATATGTTGATTAAAATAATGGATCAAACTTAATCACCTTTGACTGGAAAAGTCAAAGATGGCTAAATAAAAAGGGACGAAGGTAGTAATATTTATAACTACACACACTTTACTAAATTTGGCACTACACCCGTTCTCTTTTAATTGCAACATTAGACTTTTTTTCACTATTCATATATTCTACTTTGATTATATTTTATTATTTAATGTATAATAAATTAAAATTTAAAAAATATGTTTAAAATTTTCTCATTCTCAATTTTCAAAATATGATTTTTTTTTAAATTTTTTACTAATAAGGAATGAAAGATATTAATTGTCACACTTGGTTGACAAACGTGAAATGTTGATTGTTGCAATTAATAGAGAATGGATAAAGTATGAAAGGATCTTAATAGCACCTACCGAAAAGAAAAATTGAGACAATTTTAATGGGACGGAGGGAGTACTTTATATTAAGATATCATATTAATTTGATTTGTAAAACATAACAAACAACAAATGAGAAAATTGAATTGAATGAAAACACCATATGTAAAACAAAACATATTCAAATTGCATCATATAATGTGATTGTGCCATATAATTTTATCGTCAAAAGAATAAACCGATAATAAAAATTCTGAAACACAATCAACAAAAGATAAAATTGGCAAATACTTCGTACAATATAAGTGAAAATAAAAACATAAGAAGTGACACTACTACAATCAAATAAAGTAAAAATTATTTTAAAATTCCCGAATACTCCGTAGCACAAAGGGATAATTATTTATACCACTATTGACCAAATAATTTATAAATTATAATCATTTCATCATAAGTTTAACTTTAGACTTTTAATTAATGGTACTACACATTTAATATTTAGGAAGTTACTTAATTATAAACCTACAAAAATAAAAATCCTAAATCTAGAAAATACAGACTTCCAGGTATAAAATATTTTTCGTAGAGGTGGTTTAGTGCTTTAGTAAAACGAGAAGAGAAAAACAAACTCAACACTCAGTCAGTTTTCTTGATTATTTTTCTAAATTTATTATAAAATCATAGTTAAGGCGATCAAGTATAAACTTCAATTCTGCCTTCTAGACAGTTCCACTATATATATACTATCGTCCATTTTTTTTAATCGCTACATGTTCTACTTTGACTTCATTTTATGATAGAATTTTGCACTATTCACATGTTCTACTTTTACTTCATTTTATGGTACTCCCTCTGGTTTTATTTAATCTTCAAACTTTTACTTCACACAAAATAAGGAAAGAAATTTGACTTTACTGTAGAGTACACTGTTGAGGCACTATTTGACACTGTTTGGCACTGTTGAGACACTGTTTGTCACTGTTGAGACACTGTTTGTCACTGTTGAGACACTGTTTGCCACTGTTTTGATGTAGATTTCTTTGTCAAAAAAGGAAATAAGGAAGTGTGAAGTTTATTTTAGATCGTCCTAAAAAGGAAAGTGTGAAGTTTATTAAAAATCGGAAGGAGTATTATTTTACGAAAAATATTTTTTGAAAAAAATATTGTTAAATTTATCTCATTATAAATTTTCAAAATCTGTTTTTTAATTATTTTTTACTATTAGAGATTAAAATATAACTACGGTCAAAGACGTGCTTTGGCAAGTGTGAAATGTTGACCGTTGCAACTAAAAAAGAACGGAAGAAGTATCTATCGAGATTAAACACTACCAAATAAGTGCCAGAATAACAAAGATTATTGGATCTCCCAAAATCCCAATGCCCACTCATTTATATTTGCAATCTTCTAGCGACGCTGTGACGAATGCTGAATACAATTTGTTTTTGTTTTCTAGTTTTTGAATTCCTATCTAGAAACATACGGAGTAATAGCGTAATTTCAAATATTTTAACTCTAAATACTAAACATAATTGAGAATGACAAAGATAATTGTTGGACAGAACTCCATCCCATTTAAACATTACTAAATTTGTACCAGGAGTTAAATAACAAAAGTTAAAAGAAAGTAATAAATTTACAAGACAAATTAAAAAAATGATAAAGTTTATTAGTATGAATGTAGGGGTGTTTGGATCTGATTCTTAAAACTGTTTCTGCTCCTTCAAGTAGGAGAAGCATAAGTTGGAGTGTTTCGGTGAAAGTGCATATATAAGTGATTTTGATGCTCTAATTTACTTCTAGAATCAGTTTTTTAAGAAGTTGGGGGAGACCAGGTTCTGAAAACTGATTCTGATTCTGCTTCATATTTAAGAAAGAAGCACAAGTAGAATCAGTTCCAAACACCCCATAGTATTGTTTAGAAACTACTACGTCCATGCACCTCAAAATTGGGATAGGGACAGTTGATACACAACTCCTATTAAGAAAAGTAAAGTTGTACAATTGATATTAAATTTGGTAACTGTAAATAAAGGCTGATCTATATTATGGTTATGGTGGTCTAAAAGCACAAGCATACTTATTTTTAGTTAAATGCTTAGGCGTATATTTTTCATTATCCCAATTTAACCCACTATTAGTTAAAGCTCAAAACAATTTTCAGCTCAACCTATTTAATCCAACCAACCCAAAAAAATGGGTTGAGTTGGACTAATCACACAAACTTAATGTTACTACTTACTAGTACAAAATATTATGCGCACTACAAAAACATACTGAGTACGAGATTTCCAAGGATTTATAGAGGATTTGACACAAGTTACTTTGCCGCGTGTTATGTAGCACGAAATCATCGGGTCAATTTGTGTAAATCTGTGTCAATTTTATATATATTTTTTGTAGTAACGGGACAAACTTAATTAATCAGCGGGATAGATGCCAAAAAAATGGAGAAAAAGTTGTGGGATGGAATTTAGAGTTATAAATTGCGCCAATTTGTGCTTATTACAAATTTTGTTACATTTGTGCAGGCAATATCAAGAGAAGCAAGAGAGTTTAAATTAGGAAAAACAAAGTACTATTTGATTATAGTGGGGAATGCAATATTTTCACAGTTCTTTTTCGTGGGAGCCCTCGGAGTGACGTCGTATGGCTCATCTCTGATGTCTATTGTCATCATCGCCGTCCTCCTCCCCATCACGGAGCTGATGGCCGTCATCTTTTACCACGAAAAGTTCCAGGCCGAGAAGGGCATCTCTCTCTTCCTCTCCCTCTGGGGATTTGTTTCTTACTTCTACGGAGATATAAAAAACAACATCAAGAAAAAGAACCAGCCGGCGGCGGCGCTGCAAGTTACAGAGATGCCCTCTTCCGTCATTTCACCGTCAATAATTGTGACCGCTCCTTAAAGTCGTAGCGCAACAAAAGTTACAAAACTCGCAATCCATTCCATAGGACCGGCCGGCCGGCTTCATCGTCTGATTTTTAGGCCTGTCGTCAAATACTTTAGTGGCATGACAATGTGTACTATTTGTCGTTGAAATTCAATCTATTGGATCGTCACATTTTTAGTGTAAAAAACGCGTGATGATATTCTTCACTATATATTGAGTATGTGAAAATAAGAAGTAATTAATAATCTATATGTGATTTAAATAAAATGGTTGATAAAAATGTGATTTAGATAGAGACGATAGATAACATGTTACTCCGTACTTCCTAATTTCCTATTCACAAATTAAACCGCATGACAATAATTTTTAGTTTCTAGGTTATGGATATTTTTCTTGCATTGAAATCTTCTTGCTTGAACTTGATGAAAATTCAGTTCCAATTATGATCTAATCTCACTAAACATGATAAATTGTATAGAATCAATCAATAAGAATACTAACTGGTTGAGGAGAAACCGAATGTTGATGGTGCCGTAGAAGATGATGAAGTCATGACATTTCGATTCTCTAAGAATACAAACTACAAATTCGATGGATTGTTAAGTCTCTCTTTGGCCTCTTATTATAGGTGTTCTTGGGACCTTTGGGAAGAGACACGCCCCTTCTCGTTAGTCGTAAGGAGCGAGCAGTAATTTATGTTTTGTATCAAAGAGAAACTCTTTTGGCCCCTTATATATTTTAATGTTAAATATACACATCATATGTTAACTATACATAAATAGAGAGACAAAATGTCATATGGCAAACTTAATGGTAAGACATAAATGTCCTCAATATTTATTAAATTATATTAATGGTCCAAGGGCATTTAAATTGAATATTTTCCAACAGAACTCATTTGGTTAAAGATCAGATGTATGTAATTTGATTGTTTTTAATCTAGTCAGGTATGTTCTGAAATGGTCAAATTTGAACCAATCTGGTATGGAGATACCTGTTGTATGTGTATTTTACAACAATCAATGTTTTGTCTGATCTAGTTTGATCGATATGTTCAAGTCCGGTTTGATTATAGCTAGTCTGGGATTGAAATAAACCAGTTTAATTAAAAACAACCTAAGTCTAATATGTTATGTCAAGTCTGAACTACTCTCGTCTACCATATATATACTAGACGAAATACCCGTGCGATGCACGGGTACATCTAGAGCAAAACAACAATTTGCTTGAAATTATATTTATTCTAATGTACATAATACTTCCTCTATCGCGCAATTAGCTTCACACTTTGACTTCACACAGGTTAAGGAAATAAATTTGACTTTACTATGGAGTGCACTGTTTTGCACTATTTCAACACTATTTGGACACTGTTTGGCACTGTTTTGATGTAGATAATTTGCTAAATAAGGAAAGTATGGAAGTGTGAAGTTAATTTCGGGACTGCCCAAAAAGGAAAGTGGGAAGTTGTTTACGGAACGGAGGGAGTAAGTAGTTATTTTATGAATATAAAAGGATAGTATAGTCCGGTAATAGTTTACTGGTAACCGCTAGTGATATAATAGAGAGAATGGAGAGTTAAAATTCAAAGAGAGAAAGAACTCGTGTTAAATGCACTACACATGTCGCCTAATCTATTGGCGAGAGTCATGTAACATAGCATAAATTAACGTGTGCCATTTCCTGACTGACTTCTGCCAAAGTGTTCTTTAATTTGTGGGCCGAGGTGATGATGGTTGAGGTGTAGGGGTGCACCTCGGGTCTAGTGTTGTCCTAGTTTGTGAGTGACTATCTGGGTTCTATGGTCAAGGTGTCATCACCAAGGTGATGCCCCCTGAGGTGACTATATGGAAAGAGAGTCGTTTTTTTTTTATTTTGGACCGGACTTGTTTGAGAGGCCTTTAGTAGTGTGACGGGCTTGAGCCCGTTATGTATCTAAGGGTGCATGGGTCGTGGATCCAAGTCCCATATAATCTATCATATGTTTTTTGTTATGCTTTCAAACCTATCATAGAATCTCTTCTATATTAAATATCAACATCCATGAACTGGGTTGTGATTTGAAAAGATCGGTGATCGCCTTAACCAAACATTATTCAAATATAATAAATTCTTATATATATTGGTGATCTGCTTGTTAAAATGTTACTCAGATTGAAGCTTGTTTTACTAAAAATTGCTCATTGGACAATGAATGTATTGTAGTGTACATATACAATACATTGGTAGATACCCATATTAAATTGATATAGTTGAAATGGAGAAAATTACATTTACTGCACAGGAGAAAGTAATTTATGCTTTAGTATGTATTGGTAATTGGAAGATTAAGATTTATACATACGTGTTCCATATCCGTCTGTAGCCATCGTAACCCATTACCTTTGAAGTGGGCACCAGTACAGTTAATCATTATACTGGCACTCTTTTGATGCAGTCTAAACCGCACAATTTTTATTAGGAAAAGTTCCTGAAATAGGATTAAAACAGTTTGAAAATACCGTCATGTTTGAAGTCTGGTACTGCCAAAACGTGACAATAATTAGTCCTATTTTGGGAATAAAAACATGACAGTCCTATTTTGAAAATTTCAAACCTTTTAGTCCTATTTCGGGTAATATTCTCTTTTTATTCTTAAGTGTATAAAACAAATTAATTTGTTCTACATCAAATCTTTAATTTTCCATTAACGTTATTTATTTCTATTTGTATTGACTTCTATTTCAGTTTTATTTTATAATTCCATTTCCATCGGTCACTTATAATAGACAAAATTAAAATAAGAGATAGAAATAAAATATACACTCTTCTCTGTTTCATGTTGTAAGATACATTTCATTTTTTAATTAATTGTCTAAAAAAATATGAATACTTTTTAAATTGAACTTCACTAACTTTTTGTTTTTTCACTTTATCCATTTATCTTTCATTACTACCTCCGTTCTTTATTATTAGTCCTTCTTTTAATTTTGAGACGTTTTTTTTAATTGTCCTCCTTTCCATTTAAGGAAAGTTTTTGAGAAAACACCCCCACTTTTATTACTTTTACCCCACTTACTTTTTACAAGCTACTTTCTCTTTCCTACTTTACCATCACTTTACTCTTCTTAATGCACTCTCTTTCTTACTTTATCATTACTTTACTCTTTTTAATATACTCTCTTTCCTACTTTAACATTTACCTTACACACTACTTACCCTACTATTTTTCTCTTAAAACCCGTGCCAAACCCTAGAGGGACTAATAATAAAGAATAGAGGTAGTATATTTTTTACTCTTTCTGGACACATCGTGCTCTTTCTTACTTTTGAGTGTTACAATTTTAAATTAATCATTTTATCATTTATTTTCTTAATACACACACCAAACCCACATATACCTTACATTTGGGACAAATGTTGTACTATATCTACAACCCGTTTGGTAAACCCAATTTTAGCTTGTTAACCTTATCAACCAATCTTTTTTACTAAAAGCATAACTTTTGGTTTCACGCGCTAAATTGTATAGTAATCAAAATAAGTAAAGTTGCATTTACTAATTTGGCTGAATTGGTTAGTGTGGATCGTTGCGCTTACCGCTACACTAAAAGCAATCTCTGATAGTGTAGCACGCCCTTCCCCCTTTTATAGAACAGGCAAAGCGCCACGCGGTTCGATTGCACCGGCAGGCTGGCAGATTGCTGACCGCAGACCCGCGGCAGGCCCAACAATCTCCCCCCCAGCACCTGCCAGCCTACAACTGAGCAGCATGCTGTTGCCGGGGGTCGAACCCGTGACCTTTGGCTCTGATACCAATTGTGGATCGTTGTGCTTACCGCTACACTAAAAGCAATCGCTGATAGTGTAGCACGCCCTTCCCCCTTTTATAGAACAGGCAAAGCGCCACGCGGTTCGATTGCACCGGCAGGCTGGCAGATTGCTGACCGCAGACCCGCGGCAGGCCCAACAGTTAGACATACTGTAAAAGACCATTTTAATCATTTTCATATATTCTTTCTTTATTTTATTAATAAAATGTATTTAAATATAGTTTTTTCATAATTCAACAGATTTAGTCAATATAGCACTCTAAGAGAGGGTTAGAAAATTTAATAAAACTAAACATTCATACCAATTTAGTAGTTTGATTATTATAAAATTTAGAAAATTAGAAAAGTTATTTAATCATTTGGAAATATATTTTAGGGAAAACTATCAAATAAGCCCCCGTACTATGCCGAAAAAGTCGATTAGGCCCTCATACTTTACAAACACTCAATTAAGTCCTCGAACTATTAAAAAACGTTCAATTAAGCCCTTTCGATCGGTAAGTAACCGGTTTCCCGGTTAAACGGCGGCGACGGCAACGATGTGCTCGAACCCTAACAACGGCGGCTGACGGGAAACATGTTACATTTAACCGGGAAACCGGTTACTTACCGACCGAAGGGCTTAATTGAACGTTTTTTAATAGTTCGAGGACTTAATTGAGTGTTTGTAAAGTACGAGGGCTTAATCGACTTTTTCGGTATAGTACGGGGGCTTATTTGATAGTTTTCCCTATATTTTAAGATAAATTGAAAATTATTTTATTATGAAGATGTATTGAAATAATGACAGGACTAATACCTATGACTTTCTAATTGACAAACATAAGACCTATTCTCAATATGGACAACAAAGAGACTCAATTTTAACGGGTGACTAATTTACCCTGCGCTGCTTTGCTTCTTGTTCGCTGCCTGCTTATCTCTTCTGGCGCTGCTTCAATTCCTCTCTGTCCTCTGTATCGGATCGCACATCAGATCCTTCACGCACAACAAATCTTTCGCCCCAGGAGCACAACATCACCTCCGCCTTCAACCTCCACCACAA